TGATTGAAATCCTACTGTAAATATTGCTCAGGTAATTGCTGAGTTATAGCTCATACACAGAAAACTGTACAAATGTAAAATGTACAGTTTGATGAGTTTTGATGCATGTATTTAAGCATGAAACCCACAATTAAAATAATGAATATATCCACCACACTCCAAAATACCCTCAAAGCCCATGATAGCCCCATCCCAACATCCCATCCTCAGATAATCCCTGATTTACCTCTGTCATAATGAAGTGGTTTTTGGGCTGGGGATGCAGCTCAGTGGCACAAGCACCTGCCTGGCAAGTGCAAGGTCCTGAGTTCAGTTCCCAGTACCAAAAAACAAAACAAAACAAAACAAAAAAGAAATGGTTTTCATTTTCTGGAATTTTATATACATGGTAACTGATAGTGTTTACTCTTTTTTGATCTAGATAAGTTTTACTCTAAATAAGTATCTCAATCCATCTGTGCTATTGTTCATGTCAATAGTCCACTACTACCAGGCAAGGTGATGCATACCTATACAATCCCAGCACTTGGGAGGCTGAGGCAGGAAGACTGCCATGAGTTCAAGGCCAGCCTGGACTACATGGTGAGTGAGTCATAGTGAGTGAGTCAAGGCCAGGCTGAACTACATAGCAAGAAACTGTCTCAAAAAAAAAAAAAATTCCACTACTTTTTAATACTCAGTAGTATCCTACAGTGTAGATACACATACAATTTGCTTATCTACTCCTTTTTTGGTGAGTATTTGGATCATTTTCAGTTTTTGGTTCTTATAAATAAAATGACTATAAACATTTGTGTTAAAGTCATTCTGTGGTCATACATTTTTATTTCTCTTTGGTAAATATGTAGAAATAGAATAGTTGGGTCTTGTATCAGAGTTCATTAGAGGAACAGATTTAATATAAATATGAATGATATATAAAGGAGTTACAAGGTAGGTTTACAACGGCAGCCTGCAGAGTCAGAGTGGAAGAATGCAAAAGAACTGTGAGTCGGTGCACTGGAGAGCTAGAGGGTCCAGTCAAAAGTGGTTTCTCGCTGTAGAAGCTCCTGCGAGTCCACATCTGGAAGATAAAGGGTTTGCACTTGAAAGCTGGATACTGACCTCCAAAGCCAGTGGTGAAGACTGGAGCTCTTTGAAAATGCAGGACCAAGACTTCCTTCTTTCCCTTTTTATTCTGTCCAGGCTACAAGCCTATTGGTTGGTGCCACCTACACCTAGAGTGGGTCTTCCCTTCTCAGTAAGTCAGTCATCCAGACGCATGCAGAACTGTGCTAAACTAACTGGTGAATTGGTAGGATCTTCTTATTCAAGTTGACACCACAGTTAGTTATCACAATTAACTATGGTAGGTGATTGTTTAAAAATATTTTGTTTTGTTCTCAGCTGGATAGTTGGTTGAACTACCTAATCTACTATTATAAGAAGAGTCCCCCATATTATCTTTTAGTACTTTTGCAATGTCTTTTTTTTTAACATTTAAATCCCTGATTCTTTTAAAATTAATCTTGATATGAAGAGTGAGATAGCTAACATTTTTTTTTTTCCCAGAAGGTCAGTCAGATGTCCCCAATATCATTAACTCATACTTTGACAGCAATAAAAATAGATATTGAATGGCATTCTTAAAACTCATTGGAAGACTGAATATAGATTTGGGAATCTTCCTAATCAAAATAAACAGAAACAGATGTTCACCTTCCTTTCTGAGAGGGTTGCTTGGAAAGTCAAAGGGGAAGTGAGCCATCACCAAATGAAACATTAATTATTGTTATTTTGAGGATTTTTCTTTGCCATACTTAATAGAAGAACAGAAAACAAAAGATATTTTAACTTCAAATATTTATTTCAGGCAGTAACTTTATGTAATATGTATTTTTTTCCTCTATCACAATTATGTAACTTTAAGAAAACAAAGTTGTTATTTTGAATTTTAATCATGTTTGTTAAATGTGGAATCAGGATCAAAAAATGAAATAGTCTTTTAAGTAGACCAGTATGAAAAATATTAAACAGAGTTGGTGCAATTCTTTCATCTGATTCATAGTGTAGAAGCAAACATGTCATCTTTTTGATTTCCCAACTTAACATAAATCACCCAAGTAGGGACAAACTTTTTATTTGTGTAAATATGAAAAACAAGCTATCACTATTAGCTCTCTTAGGCATCTACTGATTCCCCAAGAATGTGTGTTGTGACTCTTTGATTACCAGGTCTATAAAGATAATTTTTGAATGTTGTTATTTTAGATTGCAACATTATTATGATTGCGTAAAGGAAGGAATAAGAACTCTTATTTAAGAGCTATGGATTGCACATAGAATTTGAAATATCAAACATTTTTTCTGTTTTTCAAAATAATTTATTGCATCATATTTGGTACCTTATATAATATCAAATATTTTATATGAAAATAAGCTTAAAGTAATGTATATTTTGTGCAAAATGTAAATTTGCTTTTAAGGTAAGATGAATTTATTGTTTCAAATGCTGGGTTTTTCTTGTTTTTTTTTTTTTTTTTGAGACAAGGTCTTGCTAT